CTTATATTCTTAATTTTAGGATTTTCAAGTAAATATCATAAATGATGTGTCAAATTTAATATATATCATTAAATCAAATATGCACATCATTTTTTATTTAATTAATTTATTGTGTTTTAATATAGTTATTACACGAAACCGAATATATGCACCGACTTCAATATAGATTTTTCCGAATATCATAAAGCGATATCGAATAACGTTGATTTCGCAATCAATTATTTCGATGTTACGATTACTTTAATCGATTTGCGTATCGATTTTGGTATCAATTGTTTCGGTATACTAATTACTTGAACCGATTTTATATACCAATTTCTTTATGATACAGCCCTAGTTAATACATATTCTAAACTTTTGTACATATAACATACACAATGAGAAATAGAAGACCACCATTGGTCAAAATGGTAAAATTTTAATTATCATAATTAAATATCTTGACAACTGAGTCTTAAATTTCGATCAAGCTAAATCTAACATATTAAATAAAAAAAATATCTTAATCTGCTTTTATAATGAGCAACTATAAAAATGCTCTTAAGTAGAGAGAGTTGCAAGAATAATCCATATCTCGCTTGACAATCTCTATTTGTGCACTCCCTTGCCACAAGAAGGAAGTGTTTGACGCAAAGTAATGTATGCACAGACTGCTCATGCCCGACAGACGTTGAGTACTTTGAAGCTTGTGGCCCGACTATAACCGCATAATGCGTTAAGTGGAAGTAGTGTAACTTTCCACTTCCTCGACAGCTTGAATACCATCAAAGTTACATGGTGAGTCGCGCGCGTGCTAATCGAATATAACAAGTTTGTCAAATTCATTGCACCGAGCAGTTATCGCAGAATGGCTAGAGACGGAGCAAGATTCGTTTATCTCACTTCCAAACAAGATTTTTGGAAAATTCTAACAGGATCGATTATCTCGAGGTTTTTGCCAACTTTTATTTTAGTGTTCCACTTGTAGCTTAATAAATTGATACGCTTGATTGATAAAGTTAACATGTTTTATATTATAACTGAGTAATTTTGAAATAATCCATATAAAAAAATGTGAGATATATATATATATATATATATATATATATAATAAAAAAATAATTTAACACTCACCGATACGATGCGTAGCGGCAGAGTTGTAGTACACGTTGACCTGTAAAATACAAAATATATCCAAATTATATAAGCAGTGTCCAAAATAATTAATAATTCAAAAAATTACTATTGGAATCTTTGTCTTTTTTAAAAGGAATTTTTATTGAAAAATTATATAAATTCTGAATAAAATTGTTTTAAAATTTACACATTTTTAGAAAAAATAATATAATAAATAAAAACCCAATATTAAATAAATCATCTAACTAATTATAGAAATCTTAAACAAAATAAAAACATTTTGCATAAAAATATATATGTGTGTATATAAATTATTCTAAATATTTTATTAAAATAT